TGAAGGTGCACTACAGCTCAACTGATGGAAATATGTAAACTTGTATTCTATTCTTCATTGAAAGGAGTTAGTATGGGGGGGAGTGGAGGAGGGGGGCAGGTGGTGGGGTGACAGGGAGGGAAGTGCAGGGGGGGCGTAATCGGAGGGAGGAGGCTCTGGATCTGGACCGACGTCTCCTGTGTCAAGGACAGTGCGTCCGCTGAGGCCTTTGGGGAAGCCCGTTGTGAGTGGATCGGTCTGGGTTGTGGAAGGACGTGGAGGAGGAGGAGGAGGAGGAAGAGGGGTGAACGGGAGCTCGAGAGTTGCTGGACTGATGGGAAGTGTGAGCGCCATCGCCCTGGTAGCGGTTGTGGTTAGCACGGGCAGCGTTCCTGTCGTGGTAAGAACCGCCGTTGAACCGCTGGCCGCCGGAGTGAAAGCCCTGTCCCTGGAAAGTACGCCTGTTACCCTGGAAAATCTGAGGAGGGAGACGGAGAGAGGTCAAAGAGGATCCAGACCGACGGAGCACGGAAATATTTAAAAAATAAAAACACTTTGACTTTGGTTCAGACTCATCCTCAGAGTCAGTGTTGGTGTTTGATTTTTATTATCACAGACGAATGAAGGAGACGTTAATGTTCGAGTCTTTACCTTTAAATGGTAAAAAAATAAATAAATGAGCCACTACTGAACAAGCTCCGCCCACCTGTGAGTCAAAGACCTGAGGACGGCTGTGTGTAACCATGGCAACAGTTGAGCAGGGTGAGGGAATAACAGCCGGATAACGACGAACAATAACAGGTACAAAAAGAAAAAGTACAAGAAGAAAAAAAAAAAATATCTATATAGTATTTTTATATTGTACAAAAAGATGTACAAGAAGTACAAGAACTTTGACTTTGTTACTGCAACATTACTTCGACGCTCATGTAAACTAACCAAAGCTGGACAGCCTCACTGACTAGCTCCCCCTAGTGTCATTACAGATGACGGCACTTTTCTCTCTCAACAGTTTACATAAAGAATCTGCAGTTTATTTCTGATGTTCTCCTGAATGAGCAGCTGTGATTGGCTGCTGCGTTGGACCAATAGAGGATCCTCGTATGTTGGAAAACTTGAATTTGGGAAAAAACATTTCAAGGTTTTGGAAGATTATAAAATCAACTTTGTTGTTGAAACTGTTGCTGGTCAGAGCAGACGGATGCTGCAGAGACAGAGACAAATATTTGGACAAAAACCCTGACGCGGTCAATTTAAAAAAACAAACTAGTAACTAGTAGTAACTAGTAGTAACTAACTGTAAGTAACTGTTGATGTGGGCGTGGACGGCTCTGTGAGGTAGACGCTGACAAAGACCCCCCCCCTCTGAGCAGCTGACCTGTTTGGTTGGTGGGGGACGGTGGGCTTCACTGGGGACACTCTGGATGGACGGAGGTCGAGTTTCCATCAGGCTGGGGCTGGTGACGGAGGAGGAGGTGGAGCTACAACGAGAGCGGTTGGAGTAGCCTGTACGTGGGTGATAAACTGGAAGAGAGCGGGGGGGAGAAAGTCAACACAAGGGGGCGTAACAAGGGGTTTGGAGGAGGATACTTCAGGGTTCAGAGTTTATTGAGCAGAATTACGACCACATGTTCACACATAAAATAATAATAAAAAAAAAAAAACAGAGAGAGTTGAATGAGACAGGTACAAAAAAAATTAAATAAAAAAAAAAAAAATTTTTTTATTTTTTTTATCTCATCATGACCTGGTCTTTTGACTATGTGTGTGTGTGTGTGTGTGTTGCCGGTCAGAGACCAAGCGTCGTACCTGATCCAAACGTTGTGATGCTGGTCTTCAGTGGTTCCAGATCAAACGTAAATCTCACTGCTTTCCCGAGGTCTTCGTCATATTTACGTTCACTCACAAAGTGCTGCAAAACAAAGAAACTTTAGATCAGACCACGACTGTATCTGGAAAACAAAGTCACGAGCCGACGACGGACGAGGACCAAACTCCACACCTTGATGTCGGCCCTCAGTTCAGTCAGCTGCTCCTCCGACATGGACGCCGAACGATCCGTCAGCCGTCGCAGCTCTTCTGCTCTCTTCTGTCGAGCGTCCAAGATCATCACTGAAGAAGACAACGCAAAGGTCACACACGGTTCTTTTACAGGACAAACTCAGCCGCCTCACAGGGGGACCAAAGGTTTGGAGGTGTCTTTGCAACAAAAATACAACTGGAAGTTAAAAAAAAACCCTCAAAATCATAATAATTTTAAAAAACAAAATTCACAGAACTACTTTAAAGTATTTGGTTAAACTGAAGTAAGATGACGGTCTTTTTTTTGTATGTTTTTAAAATAAAATATTTCAACCTTCCAGTGGACTCACCACCCACAGGAAGGTTCAGGGGGGTTGGTACGGTGCAGTGTGATGTGGGTGGAGACTGCTGCCCCTTTCCTAAAATTTGTTTCTAAATTGTTTTCAATTTTTTTTTTTTAAAAAAAACTTCAAAAAAATTTTTTTCCATTTTCTCAAAAAAAAAATTTTTTCTAAAATTTGTTTCTAAAATTTTTTTCAAAAACAATTTTTTCAAAAAAAAAATTTCAAAATAGATTTTTTCTAAAATTTGTTCAAAAATATTTTTCTAAAATTTTCAAAAATATTTTTCTAAATTTTTTTTGAAAACTATTTTGAAAAAAAAATTTTTCTAAGATTTTTTCAAAAAAAAAATTCTAAAATATTTTTTTCTAAAATTTGTTTATAAAATTATTTTAAAAAAAATCGTTGCTGCCTCCTGTGTCAACTGAACCCAATCTAAAGGCAGATAATTGATAGCAACGTGGTTATAATCTCAGTCTGTGTAATAACAGCTGCTCTGAGTCGATGTAACGAATATTTCAGCCTCACAACAAAACACTTTCCAGTCGGTGTCGGTGACTTGGAGGTTTTGAAATAAGAACAAAGTTCAGCCGACTCAGCATCTACAGGTGAACGAGGCTCAAAGGTAACAATCGTTTCTATATCCTGATACCATAGAAGTGCTGACGTCAAAGCAAAGAAACTCTGACGACGGTTGAACAACATTCCTGGGAACGCTCTCTTTACCTCCTGTCGTCAGACCGGCTAATTTTTAACTACACAACATTAAGTCTTTACGTTGTTATCCAGCAGCGTCAACTTCGTGGTGGTGACTTTCCGTCATCAAGACGATAATAAACAGCACATTAGATATTAGCATCTAAAAAAAACAACAACAAAAAACTGGAGTATTAAAAGCACCACTAGGGGCATCAAGAAAATGACTGTCAGCTTAGCCCCACAGCATTACAACATGAACTACGTAGTCGTAACTTTCGTTAGCTATGTCAGTTTAACCTTTTTTTTTTTTTAAACTTATTTGAGGAGATATGCGAGTACGATTCCCAACTTTGGGACAAATAAATAGAATATTAAAGTTGAGAATTGAAGTTTGATCATCCCTGTATCTGCCAGAGGGGGCAGTATTCCTGCACTATCTTGTTTTTATTTTATTAAGGTGGAATAACATGGTTAAAACTTAATAAGATCGTATCTAATAGTTTTAAATGTATTTATAGGGAGAAAAATACTAAGTTTAAAAAAAAAAAATTAAACTTAATTTAACTTAAAAAAAAGAATAATCAAAATAATCGTATAAGGAAATTTACTCGAAACAAATTCGGGACATGAATCACTGCACTCAGTTTGTAAAAATGTGAACCCGGTTTAACTTTTGAGGAAATCCAGCTTTTTGTGATGTGGCTGAAGAATGCGAGTTCCTTCACTTTCCTCCAACTCTCCGTACACCTCACACAAAGACAGCATTGAGTCTCCCTCGACACCTGACACTATTCACTTCTGGTTTTTTTTTCCAGGCCCGGAACACACAACATTTAACACTGCGAGGACGGGAGGAGAGAGAATGGCCTACTTGTACAAATGTGGAGCTGTGCTCTGTCACGTTACACACACACACACACACACACACACACACACACACAGAGCGGGGGGCGGCCGGGACCCTGAGGTTTTCACTGCACAATCTGGGAACTGAGGTTTTTATTTTTTTTAAACCACTTGCTCAAAAGTCACTCAGGTCAGATTCTCGTGAACTGTGAGTCGGGCGAAGGCATTATGTGACATGTGAACACCGTGTGGCAGGTGGTGGGAAGTGCAGGAATGACTGTACTCACTGGCATCTGCTTTCACTTTATCCATTTCTGTCAGAAGAGTCACTTCTCTGTCCATTAAACTGGAAGAAAAAAAGGGGAAAAAATTAATAATAAATACATTTAAATTTGAATTGAAAAAAACAAAACAAAAAAAAAACAAAAGGTGTTTTTCAGTTTAAATAAAGGCTGTGCAGCAGCGGTGGTTGCCCCTGTAACAAGGCCTGTTAGTTATTGTTATATTGGCAGGTTTAGTTCAGGTAAACCCCCTCTAACCACTGTCACCTGATGCTGCCGTCGTGTTTTATTTCCCTGTCGTTTTGATATCACACCAGGGTTTAGGTTCGACTTTCATGACAAAGTGCCGTGACAAGGGACAGAAACTTAAGGAAGCAAGAAAAAAAAAAAAATTTCAAAGTGTAAACTTTTAAATTATGCAGTGAAAAACAACTCCCTGACTTCACGCTGTTGCCGGGCGGATCAGAGCCAGTCACGAAGACTCCCTGCTGAGTTTCTTTTTTTTTTTGGACCAGAGAGAAAAATGTAAGTTTTACAGTTTCACGCTCATCCACAAGGATCAAATACATTTATGTAATAAAATAAATAAATAAAAACCTCCAACGACAAACACGACGGCCGATGTTTTTGTCATTTCCACCACAGCGACTGCAGTGGAGGAAGAGGAGGA